CAGAGGCTTTCCCTGGCTAAAGCTCAGCGCCACTCCTCGCTGCACAACACGATCCAGCCTGACTTGTGTGGAGGGGGAACCTTCAGGTGGGGAACTGCAAAGACACAAATCAAACACAAACCCCTCCAAGAGTCAAAACGATGACAAATTTAGTTAGCGTTGCTGCCTCTTTGCTTTCCCTGTTGTACGCTACTAAATATATTACCCTTTATTATGTCATTAAACTGTCCCTTAAAGAATTTATGATTTCCAGGAATTATGAAGCTCGGCTCCTTAGACTCTTATTATTCAATGACAATGATAAGTTGATCAGAGTAAAATCAAGCCAAGGAAGTGTTCATGGCTGACTGCAGCCACAGGACGAGCTAATTTAATTATTGGTAAGGAATTCACACCTCCTGAGCATGTCAACCACTTCCTGTCTTCAGACAAATACTCAGAGAGACAGACAGACCCTCTGCTACCCTCCGGCTGACTGTGACACACAATGCAGATTGACATTTCTGCGTTTATAATAGACTAAATGATGACATGCTAATGGTATTTAAAGCTGCAGTCTGTGTTTCTGATGTGCTCTGAGTAGACAGTGTAGAACCTGTGACCTCCAGGTGTGAACCATGATATTTAGAGGCAACCTTTCTCTGTGAATGACATCTTATATTCCAGATGGGACAACAATAACTAGAAAACACATTCTCTGGGTTACTTAGGACAAACCTAAGGCACTGTGAGACATGTCTCAAGGTGACAAGGCATGTTGACAGTGCATTTTAAAAATAAAATCCACTAAGGTATACTGTTTCCTCCAAGACTGCTGTCGTATGTTGATGAATCAAAACACACAACCAGTCACTGAGTCATGATTCTTTATTTAGTTTGAAGTAAATGGTCCCCAAGGTTAATCATCATGGGTTATCCATCTCAGACTGTTACCACACAGCGGATCCTGTTTCTCCCTGATGATTCACTTTCACATCATCGTCATGTAACCCTTCCTATGTAACAGCAAGGATGACTAGAGGGAGACCACTTCATGCTCACATCCTCAGGGATGCATTTATGATGCGGTGCACTTTGTCTGCTCGGAGTCACTTTCTGTGACGGGCAAGAGAGGGAATGTGTACGTAATGTATCTATTTCTTATTCCGCTTCATGCTGGGAGATTTTCAGAACCTGACTCCAGATATTTGACTGTTTTTGTTTATGTAACTGTGATCAACTGTGTGGATCATCACATGCTCAGCAGTAATGCTTTGGAGAAGTGTTGACTTTCTCCCTCACCAGATCATAAATATATATTTATGTTATACTATTCATCAAACAAACCTTGTGTATTGCTGGTTTTATTGACAAAAAAATCCACAATTAAGGACAACATGTAGCCAGCAATGGTGAGTACAACTGCACAGCCCACCAATCAAAGCTGAGTTCAGGATTGCGAACTACACACGGTGCGAACAGGATACTGGGAATTTACAAAGAAGGTGCATGTTGAGGGCATGGTTGAACCAGTGTTAATTTCATCAACTAAAATTGCCATAGGTGCTGTGATATGATAATAACCATCTTCTATAAAAAACAAGATGATGCAGGGCTAAAATTAATCACTGTTGTAAGATGCTTTGCAGTAAGACTCAACTGTAAATCCCTGAAAATGAAGATGCAATTGAGATTGCAGTGAACTGACTGTCAAGAGAATCTGTCCAGGAGCGTTTCTTAGACCTACTGTCCGCACACACCAAGCATGAGTAAAATCATGACTGAATTACATGTTGAGTCAATGTTAAGACGCGATTAGACGCCGGTACTAGTCTGGCAGGGTGAATGATGCGAATTGTACGGGAGCTGAAAATGTCTCAACTTGAGTGGATATTTGCGTCGCAAAAACCAATCAGCACAAAAGGTTACTGGGTGACGTATGAAAACAAACAGTTGTTCACTGGTATCTAAAGTGGAGGACAAACTGATCGTGTCGGTGTGTGGGTGCCCCGAATTATATGATACCTTTTCTTTCAATTACCGAAACCAGAATAAAAAGGAGTTTGCCTGGAGGCAAGTGAGTGAGGAGGTCAATTACTTGGTCAGTCGTAAAAAAACTTTGTCTATCACTTGATCCCGCTGGTTGAGTTGGCTGGGATTACTGTTGAAATTACCGTTGACGGGCAACTGAAGCGAGTAAATACTTTTCATTCATGCATCTAGATTTGCACAAATTAAGCGAGGAGATGATTTTACTCACACTTGGTGTGAGCGCCCCATTAGAGTGAATTTGATCAGTTTGGACTGAGACAGATGAAGTTCTGACAAAAAGTAAAGACTAATGTGTAATGAGTTTTTATTGACTAAAACTAGACTAAAAAATCTTGATCCATCATCAACCGCAAAAACAGACAACATCTTACATCCAAATTCTTCTTGTATTCAAGATTTGCAGTAATTACCACAAAGGGTTACAGATTAAGGAATTTAATTCAGACTATTCAGTGTGTGGCCAGGCGAGGCTATCAGTTTGAAAAAGTTAACTTCAGTAACTCACCACAAACTCATTACCTATATTCTGCTTAGATTTGCAAGAAATATTCATCCCAATTAAACCGGTCTTTTCTTTTTCAAATGTGGGAGAGTAAGAAAAGAGTATCAGTCTAACCTCCACAGCTCTTGCTACAATACTACAGATGGCTACTTTTATAGGGCATAAATTTGTTGCAAACGCCGTAGCTAGGAAGCTGTATTTTTTATAGTGGTTTCGGATGTGAGGCCAATTTTGTGTTATACAGTTCTTGTATTTGCCAGATCCTCCTTAAATGAGTAAGCTGAAACCGTATAATCGGTTTGATATCTTGCTAAGGCTTGTCTCTGTTTCTGTCTCTGTGCACGGCATACTCACAAAGTAAAAGGTTGACATACAGCGATACGAGGAGGGTTAGGGCCTTTTGAAGGATCTAAATTCTCCTCATACATGCTACTTCATGCATACTAAAAGAAGAGGAAACTGCATTTTAAGTTGACAGACTGGCATTTTTCTAAAAAGCTCATACATATGGAGAGCTAGATTCCTAGATTCAGTTGATTTAATGATATATTTCTAATAACATGCAGCTTTTTATTCTTTCAGGCGGCACACAGAAGGTTTTCTGTTTGCGTATCAGAGTGGCATCTTGGAAAGTGACCCAACAGTTGGATGCTTGTGTGACATTGTTGGACACAGGTTAGTGTCCGGGTGCAGTCGACAGCTGCCCACACACTGCAGTAAAAGCCAAATGTTTCTCTCTCTCTCTCTCATGTTTATTTCAGGAGCTGTGGTTCAGTTTTACATTGGGAGCTGCAGCTTGACAAGGTGGGGCAAGTGAGCAAATTATTGAAGGAAAACATTTCTTCATCAGATTACAAAAAGGATGATACATAGACAAGTGCAGATATGAGCTGACAATACAACATGAACACATTTGTGTCATGCATGAAGAAAAAGATGTACTGTCAGTCTGTTGAGGCTGTTTTCGCTCCTATCAGCAACAATTTTGCTTCATCCACTGGTGCTGATTCATCTATTCATGTTTAAGATTGCTATTCTCGAACGGCAGAGATTAAACATCTTAAACTGCGTATATGAATCATGATATATTAAAGCAACCATTGTCGGTGTAATCTGTACTTCATGAGCCGTCTCAACTCAACAAATGCATATTTCATAAAACTTAAATGATCTCTCGAGCAGTTTTAATTTAGCTGCATGTGAAGCATAGCACGCATTGCAGAGGTCTATTCGAAATCCATTCTCCATTATGAGCGAGTTTATTAAAGTAAACAAGGACTCGTATAACCTTCACACCGTCTTACTGTGGACATCTTATTGTTCGGCGCGTGCACATAATGCCAGCCTCATTCTGTCTCTCCTCGGGTCTTTGGCCTTGGCCCTGTGTTGTCAGCTGTGTGGAGGAAAACACGCGCATGGCTCGGTTCCATAATTCATTTTGGGAAAAACAGGTGTCTGGCCTCGTGTTCACCCCCCCCACAATGGGGCGCCTGCTCCCTCCAGGCAGAGTCACCCTGCTTTCATCATCTCTCTCTCTCTCTCTCATGCACACACACACATGCACGCTTGCACAAATTAGGAGCACTGCCAGTATGCACACTCATAAACAAATATGTTAACATGAAAGCATGAAAGCGTGCACGCATATCTACGCTAACATATTACTCCGATGGGTGCTAGGCCACATTTTTCTGGCATCAAAGGTTATTCCAACAGATAAACACACTTTAATTACCTGTGCTCCTGTAAATAAACAATTATATGCTAAGAAAGAGATATATTAGGCTGTTAAAATGTTAATATGGGCCTGCAAATATTCCTGCAAAACATATCATCCCAGTTTATGCTTTTTATAGCTGTGGAATAATCCATAACAGTATATCACAGCGCACAATATGGTGCATCACGTAGCAAATTCTGCCAGCCATGATAGGAAGCATATTTCCACAAGACTGTAAATAACATCCCCTGTAGAGAGACAGGCAGAGTACATGCATTTCATCTCCATCCATAATTCATTAGCAGATGTTGGTTGTATATTGGTTTCCAGGTATCTGCAAGCGCTCTGCAGAGATTGCAACATCCCTGTGGTTTTTGGAGTCATTTACTCAGCTCCTCAGTGGTGGCGAACAACACGCTTAGAGCACCATATCTCTCTGCTGCCAAGATCACCGCTGAGAACATTCTTGTTTGGACGATTTATGTTTCTCAGCATTAGTAGCGAGACATTGGCATCAGAAATAGTATCCTCTCGTTCTGTTTCTTTGTTGTAAACAGAGATCAAAGTGGAGGGAAAAACAGCGGAGCGTTTGAGGAACATTGCTGGAATTAAGGAGAAGGATCCTGACAATCAGAACGCCTCTTAACGAGGCAGACAGGGAGATGTTGGCACTCTGCTGTCTCGTTTTAAAGAGTTTATGTCTTTAAAAGGAGACATGGGGCGGTGGGGGCGGTGGCGGTGGTGACAATGAACCCCCGAAGATCAGTGAAGACAAAAGCTTGTGGTGACAAACTGCGTTATTCTAGGCAAGCTTCTCCAAATCCATTTGAACGCCCACTCAGACACCTACGAGGCTGGCTCATCCATAGCCAGATCAGGTCCCGCACTCCAATCCATTACCTGCTGCTTGGGATGGATGGCGGCGGATTCCTGCGCTGAGACTCACCATTATCAAAGAGAAATGGAAGGGAGAGGGACAAGGGAGAGTGGATAGGGATAAACAAAAGAGCAGCCAGGGTATAAAGGATGACAGCCACAGAGACTAAAGGGGAAGATATGGGGTGAGAGGGATAGACAGATGGATTAGCAGATACTGGAACGCAGGGAAAAACTGGGATTAAAGGAGAGAATTGCAGAAGAAATAGAGCAATAAAAAATCCTAAATCCTTCTGTTTGTCATTTTAAATGGTTTAGCCCGATGAATGAAGACCTCCTGCTTCTGGCTGTGACCTGGCTGTGGGAGACTAAGGTTTTCTAAATCCTGTTTATATTGATCTAAAAGAATTATAAAGGCTGAATCATTATTTACATAATCTATAGAACCTTTATAGTGTGAAGATTTTAAGGATATGACACGACTGAAGACCCTCCAAGAAATCACTGTAAGTAAAAAATATAGATCCTATATTTTTATAGCAGATTAAACCGTGAAAACACCCCCACTTATTAAAATGATTATACCTCAGAACTATAAATACAGAGTTTGAAAACATTTTTTTGATTTAGAGTATAAGATGGTGGAAAGAAAGGGGAACATGGAAGAGATAGAGGCGGACAGGGATTGAACCTACTGTTCTTTAATGACTCGAACCCTGATCTACAGGAGTTGCTGTACCTGCGAAAGGGAAGGTGGTGAGGGGAAGGGTTGAGGTCTATTGAAATTATAAAAACAATCATCTTATTAGGTAAGTAAATTTAGTGATTGTGCTCTGTTTTTGAACTTATCTTAGTCAATAGATGTTCCCAGCATCCCCAGTTTACTTTCTTCTGCGCATTATGTTTCTTATACACCCTCAAGATTGTGGTCCTGGAAGTGCATCCTCTGGCCTGCAGACATATTGGACATATTCCTATGATTTCTCTCTGTTTATATTGAGTTCATGTGCTTGGATGAGGAAACTCCCCCCTTAGAGTAAATATCCAATCACTATGCGTGAAAGAAAGGGGGGGAGGTGTCAGATTTCACACGGTACCTTAACATAACAAGAGGTGTAGAGACGCAGCAATACAAGGAAACACCACCGTATTTCAAATCTGTAGTGTTATTATGGTAATAATGACAAACAAACAAACAAACAAAAAAAAGAAAAACAGACTGTGTGCAAGCAATGTCTTACACGTCGCCTACTCGTCTGGAAACACTTCCAAAGTGAATGCACATCTATGGCGGCATCACCCAGCATTATCACCAACTGGAAGAGGGATAGCCAAGCAGGTAACACCGCAATCTAAAAAATGACTGTCCTTGACTGGCGTCTTCCATTGTATGTACTCCACTGATTCAGATAGACACAAAAAATAAAAGGACAGTGTGGGGTTTATAGCCAAGGATTTGCAGCTGTTTGAGGTTGCTGGAGATGCAGGTGTCGGTCTACATTAGTCTGCATTAGAGAGTACTTTTTCACATGCTCTTCTGCACGTAGACAAACCTTGCAGAAATATTTATGCTGGCTAAACACAAAGCCTTGCCCTAACTGTAGATAGGTGAACCTCACATGCAGCGTATTCTTATGCTGTGTTCCGGTTACCTTGGAAGTCGGAGATGGCAATGAAGTCACACCTGAGTTGACAGTGTTCCAGTTAAAAAGTCGGAAAACCAAGATGGACGCCTTCAGTTACCCATTTTTAGCTGTTGTTTACAATTGTCAGCTGCCGTTAGCTGTTGTCAGTTGTTGTCAGCTGTTATTAGCTGTTGTTAGCTATACCAGTTGTAAACAACCCATAACACAGTATTTTACTCTTACAAACACCGTAGCACTGTGTTCTCAGGTAGACGCTGGGCAGTTCAACATATACCACTGATTTAATTTCACAAAAACAAAACAGAAGTGCTAATAAATAATACATTACAAGAGCTTTCACTGTTTCTCTTTACTGTTGATGCACTGTGCTGCCATCTTGGATTATGACGTTGTCATCTAGTCGGAGTCAGTGAGGATCGTTCGACTTTCCGAGTCAGAAATCTGACTTCATGGGTGCGTTCCAGATGAATTTCCGACTCGAAGCTCATAAATTCTAACTTACGAGTACAACTGGGATGCAACATTACCTCAGTGCAATGGTTTCCAGTTAGTGGGATTCCACTAGTGGGTTTTGCACAGTAAAACCTGGTCCTGCTTGTATTTCCAAAGCAGACTGTACCTAATGCATCACACAGGAAGCATGTTGGCTGCTTGACGGCCTCCAAACATCCTGATTTTTGACGTGCATGCCAACAGATCAGCTTGTTTAGACTGCTGGTGTGAACAATGTTATCTCAACCAGTGATGTGGGCTGTGATTACCCTGATTAAAAAATGTTTATGCCATAATCCTGTAAAAAAAAAATCCCTGGTTTTACTGATTCCAGTCATAATGCTGTAAGGTACATAATTTAACTATTTCAATAAAATCTGGTACGAACTCTTCTTCCAACTCCTTGCTCTCAATCATTGCAATTCAAGGAACCATACACTTGGAGCTTTAACCCTTAAACGGTGCCAGAAGAGTAAGATGGTAGTCCTTCGTCAGTTTTTTAATAATAATAATAATTGCCCTCCATACCATATCATACAGAGGTTTAAATCATTATCGTGACTTCCTCATTTGTCAAGAATTTTAAATGTCAAATCAACAACTTGAATACAGTGATATGGTTTTCCTAAAATCACGGGAGTGTGATCATTATAAATGAAAGATGATGCTTCTCACAGCATGTCCCCTGAAACATCAGAGCATTTCTGTATGGATATATAGATAATTATTGAAATGGTACTTTATGTGCCCATCCTGACCTCCAGGCTTTATTGTCACACTTTCCTGTCAGAGCACACTGATCTAGTTTCTCATATGTGACGAACTAAACGCCCACACAGTCGCTCTGACACAGAGAAGCTTCAGTATCAGCTCTGCTCTCTTGTAATGCTCAGCTTTGATCTGTGTTTGGGCAACTGCCTCTGCAAGTTAAGGTAGTAGATTGCAACAAAATGGATCAAATCAGTTGAATACACAAATTAGATGGGGTGACTACCCTTTGCTCATTGCATGGAGTTTCCTGTATGTCTTTCCAGGGGCCTTTTTAAGAGGATATCCAAATGGGCACATTAGCTTGAATCCAACACGAGTGACTTCCTGCAAGGCAAGGACAGAGGAAGTCTCTCTTTCTTTCTCTGTCTGACTTTCTCTCTATCGCTCTCCCACAGAGTTGCCATCCTCTGTCTTTTTTTTTTCTCCAAGCCTTCCAATCCCTTCCCCTTGACTGCCCGTGTCACATGGGATTATGGCCACATACACCACTGGATGTTTTTGTCGCAGAAAGACACTTGCAGTCGCTGGGAAAAAAAAAATACTCAGCTCATACTTTCCCCCAGTTTGCATGTTGAGACAGCAGATTTTGTGGTTCCCATTTTAGAGCTGCGTGATGGGACATTCCGGAAGCAATTATTTTGCATGATTGAAATTTCCACTTTGTGATTATATCAGTGAGAAATAGGCCACCTGATCCTTGTGTTTTGGGTGTAAACAACTCTAGATTACTATTAGAAATGCACTGAGATGAAAAGTGCTTTGACACCCTAGTGTGAGTCCTTGGGATCAACAGTGATTGAGAAAATTGGATGAAAAATGCCTCTGAAGCGTGCAAGAAAGATGATTCAAAAGGGAACTGTTATTGATTCTTGTTTAGAGTTTTAAGATTATCTTCAACAAGCAACCAAAGCAGGAAACTTTCATTTAAGAAATAAATTAAGAGTTAGATTGTATCCTCAAAAAAGACTCTTAGGAGAAGAGTTAAAATGCAGTTTGCATGCTAGTCGCCCACTAACAATGGTTCACTAATGGATAAAGTTCTCCATAAAAAAAAGACCTGAATTCTTCATCAAGCTCACTCCCCACAAGTCAGTCACTTGTTTTCCATTCTGGCTAACATCCACCCAACCCCTGTGTAACGACAAGAACACAGGCAGGCCTCGTGTGAAAGTGAAAAAATTAACATTGCATGTGCTCATGACTGAAAAATTGAGGAGGAACAAGAGAAGGAATCTTTGAGTTTGCTTTCCCCAAGCTCAAGAGCACAAAGATGCATAATGAAAAAACTGGTAGGACTGTAATTGTTGTGCTCCAGGTGTGAAAGGTAGACAGGGTTGGTGGGGTTGCCAGTTCTGAAGAACAGAATAAAAATATGTAGAACAGAAGCAACTTCATATTTAGGAATCTCATATTTAACTCGTTGTGTACTGCAGCTTTGTCCGCAGCCTTGTCCTAACTGAACTGAACAAAAATGCTTTGCATACCATTCGACTGTCAGTTTAGCATGTGCAACAATCTGCTGTGAATTAGGACATAAAATAACTGAAATATAGTTAAATTTTAAGAATAGGTTGGTCAAAAAAGCAATACTCTGCAGACTTAAGAAAAAAAAAACATTATCTTGGTTTTTGATTTGCAGGAAAATACAAAGCCAGGCAACCTTTGACATGATCAAAACAACAGAGCAGTGACCTAACCTGCAGAGTCAGAAGATCTTCCTTGATATTCCAGTAATACTAAAAACATGGTTGAGATTGTGAAAAAGTTGTAGTTTGATTCTTATCAGCAACAAAAGCAACTCTGTTTGTGTTTAGAAAAAAAGATTATGTTTTGAGGTCAAAATCTTAGGTCAACAGCTGTTGTTGAAGAAGACAAGAACATCACTGGGTAGTTTCAAGTTCCTTATCACTCCCCGATAATAGAATCTAGTAATTCTAGACTGACCAGGATATACTATGAGAACAGTAGCCTGTATTTACGGTAAAACCAGCTGACTGTGTTAAATGACTTTAATTATAAATTCATTTTTTATATGCTGCATTGTTTGAAGTCCATTCAACAACATGAAAGGTGACTGTGTTTAGATAAAATGCAGATTAAGTCAAATTTGCCTCACCAGATATCTCTGCTAAGCTTTCGTTATGGATTCATTAC